CCCCCCCAAAATGTCAGATGGCATGTATTTTCCTCTTGAACTGTGTTGCTCATTCCTCTTGGTGGCATCTAAAGTATGACACCACAAAGATAAAAGCTTCATATACCAACTTAAGATCCCCCAGTGGAGGTGCAGTGGCCTCATGGTTAGTGCACTCGTATCCATGTGATATATTTATGTCTCACCCCCACGGTCTTTCTACATGGCGCAGCACTTCACTTCCAATATGGAACCCCTAGTTTACAGTTATCTTAATGTCGCTTGAACTTGAAAGTTTTCTCAGCAAACTTTCTCTCTTGTTAGTCTCGCTTTCTCACAAAGACTGGCCTTTACCATTCGCCACTCCTTACATGAGAAAAAAGATTGTCAAAAGAAGTGTCAGATATTTGGAGTATCCACAAATGCCATTGAGTTGGATTAAAACAGAGCTTAAAAAGGAAATTTATTTGTACATGCACAACTGTACTAGGAAATACATTGAAAAGTTTTAACAAGTCACTCGAACAGTGAATGTTACTGAGTCAAAAGCAAAGTTGGTTTATATATACTTTAGCATCTTTCTTTTCCTGATGTCAAACAACTTGTAAACACTGTAAAACAACAAAGATATTACTTGGCCAGTCAAATGCAAGTGGCAATGCAAGCCAAAACCAAGTTGACTAGCAGTCATTGTGCGTAGTGAGATGGAGCAAAAGCTAACGGCCTTAAAAACCTGTTAGTTGGAAAGGTGCCCATGTGCAAATGCTTCTATTATCACTTGTTATTAGTAATTTATTGGTGTTTGTCCATGAAAAGTCCTTGGAAAAAGGTTGCAATCTTCCGTTTGAACCCTGTAAACCCATCTATTTTCCTCTTACAGGCAAAACAGTGCACCAATGGTTTAGAAATTGATGGTCGGCGAATACGTGTTGATTACTCCATCACCAAACGAGCTCACACTCCTACTCCAGGAGTCTACATGGGAAAGGCTACACAGTAAGTTCCAGTGCTGTTGTTGATCCTCACACCCACAGCAAACTATGCAGTGTGAAGGTTCAAGGCTTTTACTAACAGCCCTGTCTGCCACGACACGAGTAGTCAAGTTTATAACCTGCATGTACCTGGTGTTTGCAGACTAGCTACTAAATGCTTACAATCCTCTGACTTTCTTCCAGGCACCGAAACTACCGGAAAAGTCACTATGATGATTACACCCGTGACAAGGAGTACTATTCAAGGGACCGTCATCGAGATTATTATGGTAGCAGTGGGTATCGCTCTCGCTCTAATACACCACCACGTGAGTATGGACATTGTTTTATGCCATGATCCAATGCTAGGTCATCCTCCTTACAAGCAGACAATGTTTGATTTTTCTTTAACAAATGTTATTCAAGTAATTTCTGGTAATTTCTGGTCATCTTGGTTTTGTTTCGTTTTGTTAATTCTTCCACTGACTTGTTCCTTTTGTCTCTTTCAGGTCGTTACTGATAATGAGCGAGATGTGTGGTATTATTTATACAATGCTTACATTTATCTGTCTGTAGATTATCACTAGACAATATAAGACTACATAGGAATAGGTGTAAGCTAGAGCTTATTTTAGCTACAGTAGTTCTGATCTGCCCTGAGGTAAAAGATACTTGAGGAAGCATGTGTGCGGATGTGATCCCCCTCCATTTTAAATATGATAGAAGAACTTGTGATTGGTTAGATTTGTCCGTGACAGATATCTGAACATTCCTGCAGATGTCACCAAACTGTCACGCAATGAAGAAAGACCGCTTGACAAGCAGCTTTCAATTGAACGCTTCCATGTAAATTACTCTTCTGTTTAGCTCACTTTGTTGTATTATGCTTAGTAATGCTCTAGTTAGGCTCAAGCAAGCACTTTTTAAAGTCTCATCGTCGTAGTTTGTCTTTCTTTACAATGCTTTTGTTGGTCCAACTATTACGAGACCCTTAACTTGTGAACTTTTAAGTGGAAAAACATTGGTATGTGTGTTATTTCCTTGTAAGATCCTTACATAAGTGATTCATAAGTTTAGTGAAAAGGTTCCGTTGCCAGAAGCCGTCACATGTTGTTATTTTACAAACAAAATTCGTTTGGCCCTTGGTGCGCGGTGAGTCTTAACACCAGTATTTTTCTAGTTAGGAGGGCGCAAATTAACACAAATAATGTCATTAGATTTTCACTGAAATGTTTTGAGGCTGGAAATGTGTAAGTTACCCAATGGATATTTTGATTTATCAGTTTTGTCAAGTATTTCTGTAGATGACTGTTTTGCCGAGTTAATCAAACAGTTATTTTATTTGTTTTAAAATTTGTAGCGAAATAAAGTGCATCGTTTAGCTCGTTTGTCGATGTTAACTTAATTTTGTTCTGCGACAGGGTAGAAACAAGCATGAAATATGAAGATTTCGAAGAAAGAGCGAAGACAACGTTTGGTTGTGAATTTTGCAAGTAGTGCAAGAAAGAAGAAAAATTGAAGATTGAAGCAATTAAGTTCAAAGTGAGAAACGAGGGAGAAAATGAAGAAAGAAAGGGGAAGATTCGGAAAGGAAGGGAAAAGAAAGCGGAGATCGATTCGAGGAGCAAATGAAGTAGTAAAGGAAGGGAAGTTTTGGAAGAAAAGTCGCCAAGTCGTGGCAAGAATAAATGAAGATTGCGAAGAAAGAAAATGTCGCGAAGAAAGCGAAGTTGAAGAAGAAAGAAGACGGGAAGAAATTTCCTGAAAATCGCTTCTTGTAGAGGACAGGTGAAGAACGGAAAAATTAGCTTGACCTCTACAAGTAAAATGAAGATATTGCAAACGAAGATATCGTTGAAATTATGAACCGGCGATTCGAAGAATTACGGAAGAAGAAATCGATTCTATTCCGTGCAGGTAAGGTGGAAAACTCAGTTTTTCATGTTTGCGCCAAAGTTTTGTTTCGAAAACGAGGCCTTTCAGTCGCTAGTATTTTTTCATTGGCGTTTGAACGAATTTACCGTAATCGGAGCAGGTGAACATTTCTTTGCACTTTTTTGGGGATCGCATAGTCACTAAAACTGCTGAGGAATGTCCAATGAAAAGGAACTTCTTATGCCGTCGTTTTCATACGAAGGAGAAAGTTGGCTTTCGCGCGCTTCATTCGTTTACCGCGCTTCACGTTCTTCCCCGCTAAGCCGCGCCTGTTCTGTAGACTAATTCGCTCCAAAGAGAAACCTATCTGCTAGTAATTCAACCATTTCTCTACTGTCGTGAAGGGGTTAAATACGGGATTCACTGAAGATCGGATCTGTTAGGCGCGCATTTCATATTTCAGGAGTGCTTACCGTTATCTGGGTTCACCACTGCTATTGGTAGCGACCCAAGTAACGTCTGTGATGGAGAGTAAAAGAGCGTTGAGTGTTGTTCAACATTAAAAGCTCTGGCATAATTAGTTCCCGGTCCTCAGTCACGTGATTGAAGCTGAATAAAGGTATTTGTTGTGTGAAAAATGATGACTCCTTATTGAGTTCCATGTTACGTTGGGATCAGTCGACTAAGTTGAGACTTGACTGTGAAGTAGGCTAGGCTAGGCGATCGAGAGAAGTGTCAAACACGTAGTCACTGGACTGCATTTTAATCTTGATCTTTCATCAGCCCCACGCCATTGCGTTTTAGCGGGTGTCCTACGCGCCGGGTAACTGTTTCGCTAAACTTGCTTTTTTCGACGAACTCGAGAAAAAATAGAGGGCCTGTGTACAGGCTACATTTTAAACAAAATTTTCCATTTTGGTATTGTTATTCTGTACATGAATCCTTTTTCCCAATCCCCTGCACTTGACACTATTGGATAACAAGCGGGTAGCAAGCGCGAGTGAGAAGATTAGGGATGTAATGCGCGCGGGGGACGACGAGAGGTGAAGCGTTTCAGCAGTTGGTTAGCTCGTTTGTTCCTCTGCCAGGTAAGGAATCGGGGTATACATGGGCTGGTCATTCCTTCAATAAAATAGTTACGTCGTGAGCGGCGAAGATTAAAAACACTTGCTGGCCAGTCCTGAGGAAAGCGCCAAGCTACTCTCTTTTCCGGAGAATCTCGATGTTGAGTTTGAAAGACGAAATTAGCCGGTTTCGTGACGTGATATCTTGACAGTCTAGGCTAAAACTTGAACTGGATATAGTTTCCTATAATTTCATTGGTTCATACCGGAGCTCCTGCGCACCAGAGGCGCGCGAGCGGAACCCCATACCTTAGAAAATTTGGTAACCTATCGATCTCAAAACTTTTGGTCGTCACGTGACATCCATGCTGTAATTAATTGACAGCTGTCAGAACAAGGCATCTGCTGACCAGCATCACGTGACCATATCGCGGGCTCAGGTCAAGAGCTCAAAGTCGCGTGTTTTTTTGAAGTTTATCGCCGACCAGGTACTGGTTTCTCGATTGGATCGCGGGCTCAAGTCAGGTTTTTCCTCTGGGGAAGAGGGAGGGAGTAGATGCAAAGGCAAAATTTCGGCGCAAATTAAACCCCGTAGCCTGCGTA